CTCAGAGGAGCCAGTGGAAGCTTGAACTTCCGCCTCATCATATATGCTTAATGATGAATGTGTAAAGGATGCGGTTATCTACAAAAAACAACATATGTGTACACAGACACAAGGACAAGAGGAGGGAAATACACTGAGCCACAGCATTAAAACCACTGACAGGAGGAGAGGAGAAAATTAATCACTTCTTTATAGTGCAATGCTCTCCCGTAAACCCTCAGGTCCCGGCCTACGTGTGGATGTTACTTTGACACGAACCAGCCACCTAAACACTGACATAGAGCAATCAATATCTGAGAGACTGGCCACTAAAAGGTTTGGAGGAAAAAAAGTGTTATTTTCAGACTAATGGAAGTTTGAAGTGTCTGAATCAAAAAGAGGATAATAATAGTTTAATGCATAATGACATCAACTGAGTTGATTTTTCATACGCTGCTGCTTGGCATTCGTTCTAGCCGATGCCACGGAGATACTCACTCAATAAATCACAAAGTAATGTGTCTCCATGTTCCAGCATGCACACTCTCCACACATCCTCTTTTCCTTCTCATCCCTGTTATGCATTCATGCATTCAGATCTCAATAAAGTTGTGGCTGCAGTACATCAGTGTCTAGCAACTGCAGATAGAGTTGAGTGAGTTTAAAATGTGGTGATTTTTTTGAAGCGAACCACACAAATGGCTTAACAAATATCACCAAATACAGTATTTTATATGCAGTTTGGCACAAAATCTGTCTGTAAGCTAAAGGCACAGTAACGATATTTGAAAATTAAGTTTAAGTTTAAAAAGTTAAAGTCAGATAACTGTGATGTAAGTTTGCTCGATTTTTTTCATCAGACAATTAATGCATAAATGTTGTGATTCTGAAATTATGTGGTGATTTTACTGCAAATGACTGACTTTGGCTGAAAGGTTATACAGGACAAGCCAAACTTTTCAGTAATGGGTACTGTAGATCCGGTGTAGGGTAGACTGTGTTTACTGTCCTCTCTGCTCAGTTAAGTTAAAGGTAGGAGTTATTCGATGAAGTGCTTCAGCAACACCAAATTCCACCTTTATATTATCTTTTTACTGGCTAATGGTTTAAAAAGAGCCCACAATGACTCATGTAACATCTGCAAGACCACAAGGAACAATAAATATCAGAGTTTGCTGCAGCAACACAGGTCAGATGATCACAGCCTGTCCACAAAGAAAAATCTACTGCAGCTTACAGTAGAGAAGATTAAGTCAATTATTTTTCAGTGAGTCATTTCACCGCACTTCACCGCTCCATCAGATCTTAAGGAGTGCACACCTGCCAAATCCCACTTTAACCCCTGACCGCATGGTCCACACCTGCCAAATCCCACTTTAACCCCTGACCGCATGGTATTTAAAAGAAAGAAAAAGAGTCAGTCAAACCAAACCAAGATGTGGGAGGCACTTCAGAAAACACGGTGTGAAAGTGACAGCTGCAGGGGTCTGCGAGGCTGCGATGGCTGCAAATGGATGATTCTTAAAACAAACAAAGATTGAAGGACATCATATCAATATGTAGTAAAAGTAACTCTCATTTTATCTCTAAAGGTTTTGCTGAAAAACTTTAAATTTATTGGGTGTGCCCAACAGATTGTGTAAAATACAGTAACTAATTTAAGTTGTCGATCCTTATTTCCTTTTGCTGGAGCCATGTCTGCACAATGATGGCAGTTATGTGGAATTATCGGGTGGGGCTTTCTCTCTGCCTCTCTCCAGGCTGTCAGAGTAAAAGAGAAATCAAAGCAGCACTCCCTTTCAGTCTGCGTGAAGAAGCTGATGGATGCCGCCGGAGCATTTGCAAACAAACACTCACACTCACTTATAGATCCGAAATGTTTTGTGGATTCTGCTGGCACTAATGGATACAAGCAACAAGTTCACAATTCACACTCTTAATGCATTTGTAGTGAACTGGAAAAATAGTGAAATACAATTATGTGCATGGAG